AGCCCAGAGCCTGACGCGGGGCTCGAACTCACGGACCGCGAGATCGTGACCTGGCTGAAGTCGGACGCTTAACCGACTGCGCTACCCAGGCGCCCCTCACACAATGTCTTAAAGGCATTCCAATGAAGAAAAACATCATACCTTTTCATATGTTTTCTCCTCTTCATAGGTAGAAAAACAGAGGCCCTGAAAATCCAAGATCCTTTGCTAATGCCTGGCCACAGAGTTTGTAAGAAGCACAGGTAGGTCCCCCAGGTATATGCAGTGTTAGAACACACAGGTTTTCAGGTTCTCAGAGCTCTGGTCATAAAATAAGTTAATGTCGTTACTCAGGATACATACCAATCTAGACATAGAACTTGCGTAAGCACGCAGTATACATCCACAGCACTGCACCATCCATGAAGGCAGAGCCATTGAGGGATAAGCTCAGCATCTGATCCAACACCAGGATGTAAAATCAGTGACCTTTGGTACAGCAGGAAGACTTATCACACAGATGAAAAAAAAGCTTGGCTTCCTTCTGTCTTCTTCTTTTTTTTTTTTTAATGTTTATTTTTGAGAGAGAGGGAGAGAGCACGAGCAGGGGAGGGGCAGAGAGAGGGACACAGAGGATGGAAAGTGGGCTCTGCGCTGACAGCAGAGAGCCCGACATGGGGCTCGAACTCACAAACCATGAGATCGTGCCCTGAGCCAAAATCAAGAGTTGGATGCTTAACCACCTGAGCCACTGAGGTGCCCCTGTCCTCTTTTTAACTTCTACAGCACAAACATGGAAGAAACCGAAGTTTGTTTTTTGAAGAATGTCGGATGATACAAACAAAACATTGTTTTTGTCTGCCTCATCCTTTCCTTGGCAAACATGGAGTGTTTCTGGAATGTTAGTTTTAGTCTCTTTTTTGTCTTTTGGTGTGGGGAAGTATCTGGCCTCCACTAAAGGGGCTGGTATTTATTTTGAGACTGTGTTTTAAGAATGACTGACATGAGCAAATCTTAAAAGTGAAAAGAGCTTAGCAACCCTACATGAATTCTCCCTGGATAATCTGGATTTCAGTGATTCCTTCTCACAGTTCCAAGTCAGTC